CGACGTCGTATACGATCGTTTACGACTGTCGTAATCCTCGTCCTGGGTTGGACGGCAAAATAATTTGAAAAAAAGTGATCTAATAAAACATTTTATGCAAGAAGGTTTTAAAAGATCAACAATTTTTAATATAATAAAACACTGTGATATTGATCTACCATTCGAAGATCGTCCAAGGAAGGGTCGTCCAACACATTTTGATAAGAAAAACCTGAAGCGTCTGCAATAATACAGTCCACGAAAATTCAACTTCTCCACTTCGATTTTTTTCGTTTTTTATTACTATATATAGGAAGAAAGCCCAGAACACGCTGCATCTTTTGGTATATTTACATTGAACATCAAATGCAGTTCGAACTGTAAACGATGTATTAAAAAAAGAAGTGACATTTTGTATTTTTACTACAAAATCACTTGTCTATAATGTTGTAACATTTTTTTATTTTGCATATATTTCGGCTTAGATAAATGATAAAACCTTGATTTTTTTTTCAAAAGATGTATCTTGGAAAGCTCTGCAAAAGCTGTACTGACCGAATTTCTCTTTACCTGTTCTAGTAGCTTTTCTTATACTCACAATGAATAGCTTACATGGCAGTGTCACTGCCGATTGTACTGAAAATTTTGGAAGATTTTCGTTCTCCATATATGCCAATTTGAGAAAATAATGGAATATTAAATTTTTCTTAAAAGATGTGCCATCGAAAGCTCTAAAAAACTTGCATAGATCAACCCGATCGTGAATCAGAAATGACCTCAAAATATTTAAAATATGATGGAAAGCAACACTACTGTCGACACTAACATGTAAGTTGTTCATTTTGAATATGAAAAAAAATATTAGAACGAGTAAAAAAGAAATTCGATCATACAGCTTTTGTAGAGTTTTCTACGACGCATCTTTTGGAAAAAATTCAAGGTTTTATCATTTATCTAAGCCGAGATCCATGCGAAACAAAAAATGTTACAACATTATAGATAACCGTTTTTTTAAAGGAAAAAAATGCCACTCATTTTTTTACTACACTGTTTACATTTCGAACAGCATTTGATGTTCAATATAAATATACCAAAAAATGCAGCGCGTTCTGAGCTTTCTTCCTATATATAGTAGCTTAATAGATACAAAACGTATAGAAATAAAAAAACAAAACTCGAAGTAGGGAAATTGAATTTTCGTGGACTGTAAATGTACCTTTTTGTTGTAATCTGGCGTCTTATTTTTCGACATTTTTTTGGTATTTTCTGAAGTTGTCTTTTCGTATATTTTGGTGCCTTTTGACGTTTAGAATATTTAAGATCAATTCTCTTCAAATTATAATGAATAGTTGATTGTGCAACGCCAAATTTTCTTGCTAATTCTCTTTGACTAACTCTAACACGATTTTCAGTAGTATATTTTAGACGCTTCAGGTTTTTCTTATCAGAATGTGTTGGACGACCACTCCTTGGACGATCTTCGAATATTAGATAAATATCATAACGTTTTATTATATTATAAATTATTAATCTTTTAAAACCTTCTTGCATAAAATGTTTTACTATATCACTTTTGGATATTAGTAAAATAAAATACGCTCTCACCCACTCTGACCGCCGTTTAATTCGAAGATAGTACCGATCAATAGAGCATAAAATTCTCCATTCATGAGATTCCACTCTGACCCATTTCCTTCAATTAGTCTTAGACAAAAGAAGCAAACGTTGTTTTTATGAGTCCACTCTGACCCTACTCTCACTCACTCTCACCCACATCTTAGCATGAAGAATAAAATTGCACAATAAACAATATTATCGAAAGACTCTGATATATTCGAACGTATCCAAATTAAGATCATGTCTCTTGCTGTTTTTCAATGAGCAATTGGCTCTCCTTTCTTAATGTATCTTTTTACGTATACGATTAATGAAATGAATGTGATACATGTGCTGTGCAATGAATCATGTTTCTTTTATCATTATTTTCTTTTTGTTTGTTATTTTGTTCTGTTTTCCCTTACACGTGGACAGTATCTCGTCAGTACAAGAGTATGAAGAAAAGTGTATCCTTTTTTTTCTTGTACACGAGTGTGCAACTGTTATTGCTGAATGGATTGAAAAACACAATTTATTTTTTTTTGAGTTACTGTCGTGCCTCATTTGTTTGCTCGATCCTGCTTGCGTCCAGCTGATCCACTGATGTTGAAGGTATTACTTATATCTGCAACAGATCGTTGCAGCTAAAAATTATAATAATTCGAAATAACATTGTCTCGTCCTTCTAATGACACCGTATTCCAAATTTGAAGGTGATTTTACATTTTAAATTAAGTCCATGCTGTACTGTTTTTTATCTTTGGTAACCAGTTTTCATCTCTCAAAACAGTTGAAAATCGAGAAGATGTTTAAGACGGAGCATGATCAGGCGTATCTGTCATCAGGTAACATCAGAAAAGTTCGAACAAATTCATTGTCTTATTAATAATAATATCATAAACTTCAGAAGATTACGGCTAGTTCATCTTCAACGTATTTTTTCGACCTTCATGAAACTATTCATACCATCCTTCAACTGTTCTAAGAGCTAGACGTCGAAAAATAAAATACAGTTTTTGATGAACAATTCTCACTTGAATATATATGGCAGTATGAAGTTTACTGTAGAAACGAAAGTTCTTCATATCTATCTAACTCAGAAGTGAACAGCTTTGATCAAAACTCTTATATCATCATATCAACCGAAGAATGATGAAATATAATAGAATTATAGAGTCTGTTTAAACGTTCAGTATATACAGTAAGTATCTAGATTATTCAACTGCGTAATAGATAATTTTATATTCTTGTGTGTGTATATCTCAAAAACTGGATGAGCTAGAATCATCTGGTTTTCTTTAGATTACATCCTATAGTCTCTAATATATTAGAAGAAAAAAATGTTAGAGCAATTCATTGATCTGTTAAGTTTTTATTGACAATAGAATCATAGCTTACCATTTTTCATTTTTTCAAAAGTATTCAACTGCTCATTTTTCACACTGTTGCTCGCCTGTTTTATATTGAAATTTTCGTTATAATATATGATTCAATAGAATAACTTGTGGTCGACGTAATTCCCATAATATTTATCTAATTTTATTATTGAATATATCATTAGCAAGAGCAGTAAAAATTACATCAGATATTTTATTTGAATAGAAATTCCATGTTGAAAAATTGTTTTACTCGTCTCCT